TTTTTAAATTTTTTTAATAAAATTTTATTAAAATTATGTAATTTTTAATTTTTTTACTTAATTTTTTACTAGTGTTACTAATAAACATTTTTTTTCTTTAGGAATATATTATAAGAGTTCGTATGTTAGAAAATTCCAACCATGAAAGTTCATTCATTGACCCTGTTGACGTGCCAAAATGAATGGAGTCGCTATCTATCCAAATGAGGTGGGATAGATCACCAAGGTCTTCGTAGAAATTGACTAGGTTCGGAGGGTCAGTTAAGCATGGGGAAGGTGTTAGGCACCCCACAACTTCCAAATAATATGGTTACCACATACTTTAATTTTGGGAACGTTTCAATTTTATATAACAAAATAATAATAATTACTCAAGAACATAAAATAAAATAGAAAAAGAAAACATAGAAAAAACAAAAACTTCAAAACCCATTATTGTCTTTTTCCGTTCCGTTCTTTTTATTCATTTTGTTTTTTTTTTTATTCACCAATGATAGCTACTCCCAAAAAAATCACTTTAGAAAAATTAAACAAATACTGTTCATCATCATCTACCTTTCTCTCGTTCCCGTTTCTTTAGTTTCTTTATGTATATTTCTTTTCTGCAGCTTTCCTCTACTTTCGTTTCTGTTTTTTTTCTGATGTATTTTAAAGAACAGCAAGTCCCAGGAAAGATAGCAGCTTCTAAATGACATCCTAAATGACGGTAATTGATTTTATTGGTTTAACAAGGAAACAGCCACGAAACCCAGTGACGAACAGGACTTGGGACAAACAAATAAAGGCTGAAACTATGTATGCAACAAGAATATACCCAATAAAATTTCCTCCAGATTAATATAGCAACTAAGAAACAAAAGAAATGAAAAAGAAAAACAGATGCAGAAAACTAAGATTCAAGATCCAAAATTTTCCATATTCTCAAGAAAACACACCTGAAAAGGAGAAAACCAATTTATTTATTTGCTGCAAACTTCAAAATACAAGATTTCTTCTTCTTTTGCTTCACAGTAGCTGCCGGCTCCCAAATTTTTCCTTCTCCCTTTTCCGTTTTTCTCCCAATTTTCGACCAAATTTTCCTCTTCAATTTCATCTCCCTGGTGCCGAAGGTGCTCCCCCCTTTTATACAGAAATAGAGAGGACTCCCATCCTTTTTCTAATTCTAAATTCTAATCCCAATCCCCAAAATTACAGATAATAATCTAATCCTATTTGAAATTGGAATCTTAAAATTAATCTAGTCTTTACACATCTTCCCTCTTTTAAGGCTAGATTCATACCTTCAAAATATCAGGACTCCCAATTTGAATCGACTTCGAAAATCTTCTGCAACTCTTGATAAGGACTTCAAATCCGAAAATCTCTTCTTGTGTTGTTGTGGTCTATCCAAACTTTGAATGGATTTAGAGATAAATCAAGAAGAATTTTGTGAAATTTGGAGATAGTCGGCGGCAAAAGGAAGAAACCCATTTTTTTTGCGAAGTTAGGGTTCGACAGAACCCTGGGCTTTATTTTTATTTCAACTTACAGGCAAAACGACATCATTTTGCTAGTTCTTCATCTCAGCCCTTCAAGCTTTACACTTTTTGCGAAATGGTCCATGAACTTTTTCTTTTCTCACTTAGCCCCAGTTAAAATTGGGTTATGACAGACCCTTAAGCAAGTTAGAAGCACAAATAACTATCATTTGTCCTGCTCTAGAAAAAAAAAAATCAATTTTACTGGTAAGGAACCGGAACATGCACACCTTCATCAGTACGACTTGATCTCGTCCAACCAATTCCATCCCGTCTTATCTTTAATTTCTCTATATATATTCCCTATTCCTTCATTCTCCATTAATACCCTTTCATATATTTCTCTTCTTTCGTTTATATATATCTTCTGCAGCAAGAAAAGAATGCTGGGTCATATTGTGGACAAAGTCAAGGCAACTGCCGCCGGCAAGGATGGCAGGGGAAAGAAGGTCATGGGTACTGTTGTTTTGATGAAGAAGAATGTTCTGGACTTCAACGACTTCAATGCATCAATTATCGACAGGCTTGATGAGTTGATCGGGCGGAAAGTCTCCCTGCAGCTCATCAGTGCTGAGAATGGTGACCCTGGTGAGTTCTCTACGTGTTTGATCTTTTGTCTCAACCAAAAATTTATCTTCACTGGAAAGAAAGATCAAAAACATGGGTCTTCTGTTTGTGTTCTTCGGTCTTCTGCAAAACTGACGTCTTGTTTAATCTATTAAAAGAACTGGTTTTTTTCTTTTTGAGTACATAGAGATGGGGTCTTTGACTCCAGTTTTCAAAGTGTATATATGGTCTTTAGTTTATCTCATCCATAAAACTTCACTTGGAAGAAAGACAGAAAATTAACATGGTTCTCTTCTT